TTTTCACTTTTTTTTTTTTTTTTTAATTTTATAAGTTTTCTTTTCTTTTTTTTTACAGATTTTTTTTTTTTTTTTTTTTTTTTTTTTTTTTTTTTTTTTTTTTTTATATATATATATATATATATATATATATATAAAGGTGATTTTCTATTTTAGTGTATACATTATTTTGACAATTTTAAATCTTTATAAAAATTGGACAATAATAATTAATAAATATCACAAAATTTTTTATGTAAAAGTTTTATACTTAAAACTGTTGTTAAATAACAATAATTATACATTACTTGGGCTAACATGTATGCATTTAAAGAACAACACAACATATAGATCACTACAAGAAAAATCAAGATTATCTACGGAAAAATCCGTAGATAAATGTCAATTATCTACGGATTATTTATGGAAAAAAATCCGTAGATAAAATGGTCGTAGATAACGTTATCTACGGAATATTATCTACAGAATTTTTCGTAGATAACTCACGAAAGTTGTTATCTACGGATTTTGTTACATGTTGGCACATAAATGTTACTAAATGTGGTATATATAGTAGTGGTATGATTAGCCTAATGTATTAGTTAATATAAACAAGCTTGATTAATAGGTTAATCTAAGAGATTAATAGTTATCGTAGATAAGATTCGTTAATGTTTATTATATAAAAAGATTCGTTTATGTTTCTGAGCAATTAATGAAGTGCAGAGAGACACTGAGGCCTCGAAGCAAACTATATGTTCCCATGCATGCATTTGTTCTCTTGTCTGACAGTGATTCCATTGCTGTGAATAATTTGTAATTAAATATTAAACCCTGGACGTTGTCGTAGACTCACTGCGTAAACCCTTTTAATTTATTTATTTTTTAACCGACTACAACAACTACTAGTCTTATTTTTGTGTATATCTTTTTTAATTACCTCTTTTAGTGTTGAGGAAAAAATTCACTCCCAAATCAATAAGTCATGAAACTTGGGGAACCTTTCTAACTGGGTCACTGTCCATCATCTCTTTGCTCTTTATTCTTTAAGCATATCAACTTTTTATCTCGAAAAATCAAAAAAGGAAATTAAAAATTCACGGATAACATGCACATGTCCTTGTCAAGGATACTAAGCCACGTAATGTTTATTACTCAAAGCAAAATGGGGAAAAAAATAAAGCACAAAACCTTTTTAAGTGTTTGCATGGTTTCATAAAAACTTGTCGCAATATATTCCTACATTTAAATAAATGATTAACATAAGTGTAATTAGAAAAGCCAGTGGTTTCATTAGTAAAGGTAAAATGATGAAGTTGTAGTAACAATTAGTGAATAATGGAATTGTCCTTCGCCAGATTCATACGCCATCAATTGCATGGAAGAACATGAACGCGTGTCAAGGGATAGTTTCCAAGGCACATATTCTGCAGAAAAGTGCCAGCGATGGAAGAGGGGGAATAAGTGCATGCATGTTCAGATTAATTTATTTTGGAAAAAAGATACTATTATTTATTTATTTTTTTGGAAATATATATTATATAAATAATTAATTAACTTTTAAATAAATTTTCCTATAATTTTATTGTGTGGAAATTTTGCGTATATATTTATATAAATATTATTAAATATTGAAAAAATCTCAACTATTAATTTAAAAAAAAAATCAAAATTTGCTTATGTAAAAATTCTTGTCATATAAAAAAAAGATTTATGGTGAACTTAGATTCTTCGATATTATCAAATTACATGATATAATAACTCAAGTGATTCACGTAGTTATATATCCTATATTCATATACTATGTGAACAATTTATTTAATAATAAAATTTATGTCATATTTTTACCGTACGCAAAAATCTTTGAAATTAGTGACGATCATAATAGTGTAAAAAAATTTGTAACTAGTAATTTGAGAGTACTTGTTATGAAATAAAATAATAAATGAGAAATTGTTAACTAACAGATATCAAACTAATCAGTAATTAGTGCATACATGAGTAGATTAGCTAGGGGTTGAAAGTGGATGTAGAGAAGGAGAGGATTGGAAAGATGAGGGTATTCATGTGACGAAGAAGAAGAAACAGTTAGTGAAGTATCATTAAATTAAGAGAGGGACGGTTTGGTAATATGGGATTATAAAACTGGGCAGTTAGGAAGTCACTCTTTCTCACTTCTCTTCTTTTCTAACGTCCCTTGCCTGCAAAGAGATTAAGAGAGAGAGAACACAAACCAAAGCATAGCATAGTATAGCATCGCGTGGCAGAGGATTTAAGAAAGGAACAAAGTAGAAGTCAGAAAAAAAAAACAGAGCACCTCTCTCTTCCCCTGCCCGCTCCATATCTTCTTTTTCTTTCCCAATTTCAAATTCTCTTCCTTTCCTGCATGCAATTCTCTTCATACTTTTGATCATGGTTTTTGCCTGCTGAGTCCCAAGTTGGAAGGTTGTGTTGGAAAATATATGATAAAACAATGACTTGGAAAAGCAGGGGAGACCTGTTTCCTAAAAGTCTCATGTCTCAGAAATGGGTCATTTTTCTCTGTATTGGAAGCTTCTGTGCTGGCATGTTTTTCACCAACAGGTACATCAATTCTCTGTTTTTCCTCTGTTTCCTAATTTTCATTGATAGTTGCTACTGAGCTTTATGGATTCTGTTTATTCCTGTTCATGTTATATTTCCTGTTTTCAGATCTTTATAATACATAAATAAATTCATCGGTTTTTCAATTGCTGAATTCATTGAGTTCAGGGGTATAAGAACAAATCTCCACAATTTTTATGAATTTTTTTAAGTCAAGTCAACTCTATTTTTCTCACTATTCTAAAAACGCATAGAAGAAGTGGAATGGATCTGAATTGGATTGTCATGAATGAATGATCCTATCCATTTCAATTTTCGGTTGAAGTATGCATTTCTTCTTTGTGTGATTGACTCCTAATGACATGTCAACTCTGTTCCAATACTTTGCCTCTGCTCAATATCTGTCAAAGTTTGTGAACAATTTAAATCCTGGTTCAGTTTTCATCATTGATGCTGGCGAATCTATTAGCAACTTTACTTGTATAATTTTTTAAAGGTTGATAAAAAGAAATTTACTGTTTTATCTTAGTTACTGCGCATATCATACCGTGTCATATCATTCTCACAAATTAACGGTGAGGAAGACCTCTGACATGTAATAATTGATTGGCACTCTTAGTCTATCCTATGGTAGTTGCAACTGAAGCACTTATTTTTATATTTACTAGTTGTTGAAACGTTGAATGATTGATCTGTTTATTTTGGGATCTGCCTTGTTGTTGAATAGTGATGGTCCAACGTACTTTGGGGGGCTTTAGTATTTTTAATTGCATCAATATTTGTCCTTGCTCATCATAATAGACACAGGATGGATCCATGAAAAGTGTGGTTTGGTAACTAAAGAAATGTAATTCAACGTTCATAGTTTCTCTAACAACTTGACATTTATTTTATCTCAGATTCTGATTTGACTATCAGGTAGCACGTTATGTACACAGTTATAGTGGTGCTTCACTTATGAGAAATTTAAATGTGTAACAGGATGTGGACTATACCTGAACCTAAAGGACTTGCACGGACAACCGCTATGGAAGCTGAAAAATTGAATGTGGTTTCAGAGGGTTGCAATTCGAGAATTGTAAGCACCGTTACATTTTTCCCTGCTTGATCAGTTTTAATAATTAGGTGGAAGTTAAGACACTGTACTTTGAATTCAATATTTCGTGTATGATGTAAATCATATGAAATCCTATGCTTGTGTGCTGGCGTTTGTTAGTTGCAAGAGAAGGAAGTGAAGCGTGAAACTAAAGGCATCTACAGTGAGGTTTTCAAGACACAAAATGTCATACAGTAAGTTACACTCATATATACCATTGGTAGTACAATAATTTATACATCATTTGTTGTGTCTATTTCTCTCTATCATATCATTTATTACATTTATTAATGATGGACATAAACAGACACAAAAAAGGATATTGTATGAATTGTTGTATGTGTATCATTGCTTAATTTTCATGCTAAACATGTGCAACTGCATGAAATGTAGAACCCTGGACAAGACTATTTCAAACTTGGAGATGGAATTAGCAGCCGCAAAGGCAGCTCAGGAGTCTATACGAAATGGTGCTCCAGTGCCAGAAGATATCAAGATGAGTGAATCATCTGTTAGGAGGAGGTACCTAATGGTCGTAGGAATTAACACTGCTTTCAGCAGCAGAAAAAGAAGAGACTCAGTTCGTGAGACATGGATGCCACAAGGTTCATAATTTCATCCTTGATTCTTTATTATTCTATTATGTTTTTTTATGTGTACTTTTCTAACGTTTTCTTGTCATAACACGGAAAATAGGTGAGAAAAGAAAGAAGCTGGAAGAAGACAAGGGCATTATAATCCGCTTTGTAATTGGTCATAGGTAAGCTATCTCATATTATCATTTGTTTTTATTTTATTGCATAATTGCCATGCTAACTCCATCATGTTTTTGTTTTAACATCTGTTGGAAATGCCTACATTAGATCATTTAGTTGTTTTTATGTATCCAAGAAGCATAGTATAATATTGGCGAAATTATATTTTTAGTATACTATTTCACTGCAGATACTATTGTGGTCCATTCTTAGTCTATTTATATTGAATGAATTGTAAATTACACTGTTCTTTTTCCTTTCTTTCACCAGTGCCACATCAGGGGGTATCCTAGACAGAGCTATTGAAGCAGAAGATAGGAAGCATGGGGATTTCCTGAGACTGGTAATGATCCTCTTTGTCTTATTGCAGTTTTGTCCCCATGTCCCTTCTCTCATTTTTGTCGCCACTTGAATAATTACTTGACAAGATAGCATGAGCACCTGAAGGGAAAAAAAATGCAGCAGGTTTTGAAATCTTTTTGTTTTGATTCTGCAGGATCATGTTGAAGGATACCTTGAATTGTCAGCAAAGACAAAAACATACTTTGCCACTGCTGTTAACTTATGGGACGCTGACTTCTATATCAAAGTTGATGACGATGTTCATGTCAATATAGGTATTTAAAAATTTTCAATTTCTAATAATTGACCTTGCATGAGGAGTTTGTGATTGAAATTGTTGGATTTTTCTAACTTGTTCCACATGCTAACTATCATGTTTCATCCCTACCTAATGCCAGGCATGGGTTCTTGTTCATACTAAATATGCATCAGGTCATTTCTATCATAACATTTTTCTTAGCTTGTTCTATTCAATCATTTTCCAGCGACACTGGGACAGACTCTAGTGAGACACCGATCAAAACCACGGGTGTACATTGGATGCATGAAATCTGGGCCTGTGCTTTCTCAAAAGTGAGAATCATTTTCTTTTATCCTTGTGCTATTTAATGAAATGGTAGTAAATGTGTAATATTTTTCACTTCTAGCTTCTTACTTGCCCACTTTCTTGCAGAGGGGTAAGGTATCATGAACCAGAATTCTGGAAATTTGGAGAGGCTGGAAACAAGTACTTCCGTCATGCCACAGGACAGTTGTATGCCATTTCAAAAGATCTGGCTACATATATTTCAATTAACCAGTGAGTGTTTAATCTCACTTGTGGGGGAAGAAGCAATTGATATTAAATTTTTGGACCAGATTGGTGATGCAAATATTGTGACCCCCATGATTGCTTATATGTTTATGTGTTTGTCTCAGGCACGTTCTTCATAAGTATGCCAATGAGGATGTCTCACTTGGTTCTTGGTTTATTGGACTTGATGTGGACCACATAGATGATCGAAGATTATGCTGCGGCACTCCACCAGGTGATGGGTTTACCTATAATGATTTATGCTATTGACCTATATATGTGAACCATTTACATTGACAAATAATTATTTATTTGGTTTTGTTCATTTATTAATAATGGTCTACATTTTCATGCAGATTGTGAATGGAAAGCACAGGCAGGCAATGTTTGTGTTGCTTCATTTGATTGGACATGCAGTGGAATTTGTAGGTCTGCTGAAAGGATCAAAGAGGTTCACAAGAGATGTGGAGAAGGTGAGAAAGCCTTGTGGAATGCCTCTTTCTAAGTGGCACCTAAGAGTTCTTCCTATCTCAGGAGGAAATAACCCCACAGCAATGAAACTAGGCTGCAAGATTTTATTTTTCTTTTTGCATAGTTTTGGGAAAGTATAGAGAAATTCCATTTTACACAAGAGAATGAGAAAGAAAGAGGGGAGGAAAAAACAAAACAAAAGAGAGCAAGAGAAAAAAGACTTGCCCCATGGCCCTTCTGCATTTTAATAAAGGAGATTGACCATGGTAGCTGCCATAATAGGAAGCATGGGATTGTCTCACCCTACCAATTCTTTGTTGCTTGAAGGAGCACTCTGTATTAATAGTTCCATACCTATCAGGCTCCTAATAAATGTAGATATAGATTTGGTTGGTTGTTGCTGCTTTTCCTTTCATTTAAATCTGAGTTTTCCTTTTGGTATAGCATATGTAATTCCAGAAAGCTAGTTGACTGACCACTTTTTTTTTTTTGTGTCCTATCAACTATATCCAATAAACTCCAAACATTAGAAAGCAACCTTTATTTTTTTTACCAAATACTAATTGTATTGGAGCAATATGCAGCCACCCAACATAAAATAAATTAAAATTGGATCTAATTCCCACTCCAATTCAAAAAGGGAAAGGTAAAATTCTTCCAAGTCCCAACTTGGCCATTGCCAATTCAAGCCATTGGATTCCCATGAAAAGAAAAACCTAAACACATTGGACCTTATATTTTAAGGAGAAAGTCAGCGTTTTCTAGATTCAATTGTAGTACCTTTTACTGCGGTGGTGCACGTTTTGTAACTTATTTAAGATTTCTCCCAAGGTTTTGAAAATTGCAAGCAAATGGTTTAATGTCAAATAAAATAAATGTATGGTAGGGTTAGGTACCTCAATGGGGTGTGACATTGAATGGAAAAAAAGTCTTCTTTTTTGGGGTCAACGATTTAGAAAATTCCAAGGTGCGAAATTACTAGTATAGGGTTTTAGTTTTGTACTCGCACCAAGATGGTGGGCCCAACTACCCTACCCAATGGACACGGTACAGGAAGTAATGAAGTAGTATTAATTAACAGAATTGAAGGCATAAGCGTAAAGAAAGGGGTATAGGAAATATGGTTGAAGTTGCAACTATCATTTTCCTTCTTGAAACCATTTAGGAATAAGGTAAAAGGAACCTGTACCAAGAAGACACATGTGGTAATAAGTTAATTGATGCCATTTTCATTCATGTTATGGTACAGCTTCACTGAAGCCGCAGCCAGTAAACAGGATACGTGCAGAACCACAGAACCTAATATTTAATTTCTTAAATATGCAGCTAAAAGATTCCTTAACTTGAGTTTTGTGTCCCACAAACTCAAAGCCAATGTTTGGTTAGAAGAGTAAAAGGGCAAAAACTATAATTATGACTTATGGTGGCATGTGCATTTCTGAACAGGGATAATAACGAAACACCCAAAAATAATTGAAAAACACCGGATTTGAAAAATAATTATTTTTTATTTTATGTATTTTCACCAATAAGGGATTCTACTCATTAAAACACATAAACTAAGAACGATTTTTTTTTAATAAAATTATGGTATTTAAATTAGAGTTAATCATGTAATGTAAAGTTTTTTTTACACTTACAATCAATTATAGTCATATCATTATAAACACATTTACTTTTAACAGTAACATGACACAATTAAACGATATAATTGGTTGCCAGTGTAAAAAAACTTTACACTGACAATATATAGATGATTAACTCTTTAAATTATAACTATATACAAAATGAATGTTTTCTTTTCAATATAGTTTATTTAAATAATATATTAGAGCTTAAAATCAAAGGAAGTTTTGTTTTTGTTGAAATTATTTTAGTTTTTTCTATTTTTAAAAAGGTATTCTGCAAATAACTTCTAATATTGTTTTTAAGAAAAAAAAAAATGAAATATTTAAAAAATTAAAAGAAAAAAAGCTTTTATTAAGGAAATTCAAAGTAGCAACATTAACGACAAAACCATATAGAATTCACATGAAATTATAAACCAAAATTATCAAACTTAGAGTAATCATTGACTTAGTTATAATATAAAGTTAATGTGTCAAACCCATAAACCACTTATTAGAGTAATCTTTTGTACTTCTTAAATAAGGATTAGGATTTGATTTCTGATTTGAATATAGAGTTATATCTGGAAATACCACCTACTCTGATAAAGGCTAATTTGATGGGAAGGAATTATACATTCTTAATAAAGGGGGGGAAAAAAGTAAAGTAAATTGTGAGTGAACATTGAACAATAATGTGAATGAGCTTTGGGCTGTGTCTATTACCTTACCATGTAACATAAGTCAAAAGTGGTTCAAAGCCCAAGTCAGTAACATCCGAATCAGTTCAAATATATTTTTCAATCTAATAAATTGACCAAACTAACTATGTGTCTAAGTTGGACCAACTGATTTGATCAGTTACGTTTTCCAAATCACTCACACAGGCAGGTCCCTCAACTTCACCAATGAATTCTTCCAAAATATTTCATTTTTTCTCTCTCAATATTTGCACACTTGAAACATGTCCCAACCAAACCATCTCCTAGCCCTTTGTTCAGTCCACCATGTGTCTGAAAACTTCCAAAGAAAAATGCCCCCAAAGAATAAAAACAAAGTTGTCCTTATCAAAATTAGAATTCAAGAAATAAAAATAATACCAGTTGCATTTGTTCTTCCACGATCTATGCCATACCGACACAATCTTCGACCATTGTCTCCCATGGCCAATAGAACCATCATCAGAAGATGCCCTATCGACCCATCAAAACCCAAACCATTGTAATTTTGTAGTTTGATGCTGTTCGGAATTCAAACTTTGTTACAAAATACCCACTGTGAAAACAATTTGGATTTTAAAAACATTTTTAAAAGTTAATTTTAAAACATCAAATTAAAGACTTTTTTCTTTTCGAACACATAATTCTATAAAACAATTTTTTTTTTCAAAAACCGTAATCAAACAGGCTCGTGACATTTCAATTTCTTGACAATGAGGTTTTACCATGTTTGACTTTGCTTTGTTCTAATTTAATTTCTGTATAAGTGATTAATTGTATTAGTATTACTTAAAATAAGTAATATATAAATCTTGGGCTCTCTTTTTACATTTTGGCGCTAAGTTTATAGGCTAAAATAATAATTTTTTATTTAGTACTTATAATACTTTTTATACTAATATTCTTCTGTAAAGTAAAAGAATATTAAAAAAATAAATAAATAAAATAACTGAAAGAATTATGTTTACGTACGATGCATCCTTATGTAGCTTCAGTTCTGCAGAATTTAACTACGAGGAAACTCATCAGTGATGTCAATTGCCAAATAAGGGTGATTTCAGGTAAAGGTAATGCGAGTAATATTTTTTTTCCTTTAAGCATAAAGGTAAAATATTGAAATCGATCCATAAAATTTTCACTCCCATACTTGGCTAACTGACAAGCTTTGTCGCAAACCTGTGAGAATGAAAGTTAATTTGTTTAATCTAATGTAACTTAAAATACACTGTAGGTTTGCAAATTAACAAGACCCTTACTTTCTTTCTTTCTTTCTTATTTTCTCTTATTTAGAGAGTTTATTTCACACACGACTTTTAGAATTAATTAAAAAAAATCCTCTCTATCATCTTAAACTATCATTATTTTATCTTTATATCTACTTTATCTACCTCTGAATTAAATGGTTCATTCTAACTCTAAAATATAATATATATTTATTATAATATTTAATCTAATATAATTTATATATTAAAAAAATTATTATGAAATCTACTTATATATATAAAAAAATAAACATTTTCCCTATACAATACAAGTTTTTGTTTTGAATGATTTACCTCTTTCATTTTGAAACTAAAATTGAAGCAAAATATATAATAAATATTTTATCAATGTGTATGCAGTTCCTCCAAACTATCAAGAAAAACAGTTTTCAAAAGAGTAATAATATATAGATTCCTACATTATAAACATTTCATTAATACAATTTTTTTTAATCTCTTTTCTTATTATATTATTATTGTAATACTATCTATCATATTTGTACTTCTCTTTTTTATACCTCCTTGTCTCCCAAAGTGTCAAATAGCATGGATGTATGCTATGCATGCATTATTTTTCTTTCCGAAATTAACACAAGAACCAGTAAAATGCCAATGCGAGTAGCTGCTAGCTTTTGATCCAACACCAAGTTGGGCTTCATTCTTGAGAAGGACTTCTAAAGCTAATGTGAGGGTTTAAACTTTAAGGCCACCCTGTATTTGGGATGGCTTGAGATGTGAATTTTATATTTTTACTTAATGATGTCCCTACCCTACACCCGTCATTGACTTACTTATTCACTTCTTCACCTACCATATTATATATCATTCAAAATAAACAAGAAGACATTGGAAAATTATTGGTGCTTTTTCCATAAAAAAATGAAAAATAAATAGTAGGGTCACTCTAGAAACGAAATAAATCAACTATAGATGTGCATTCATCAATTATTTCCTGCAATTGTTGTAAATGAGTTTTCCTTTTCTTTTTTCAAGTACGAAAATAACATCACATCTTTGAAAACGGTTCTGTTTTCAAAGCTTGCTCCCTACACTAAAACTAGATTATAATTTTGAAGTATCCTTAGTCTTTTTATTTTTATGTGCAAATGCATGTTGTATATTTAGAGAGGTGATGTATATAAACATCTCTGTATCTCAAATACTTTATTATATCTTTTATCATACTTCTTCTCTCTTTCTCCTTTGCAGGTGTTACATACATAACATCTGGTATACAATAATTACTAAGTATCTAAGATTTTATATCACACGTAAAGTGAAATGCGAGTATTTAAGAAAACAGAGAGGAATTGAACCCAAGAAAAACATGACAAAAGAGTAAAAGGGAGAGTGAGAGAGAGAGAGAGACAAACTATGCTTAAAGAACTGCCCAAGCCGTGTTCCACTCAGCACTGTACATCAAACATCAATAGGCACATTGTGAGGCATGAGAAGTAACGGATGCATGCATGACAAAGAACTTGCATTAGTAGACGAATATATGTTCTCATAACCAATCTTCCATACGCTTCATGTCCCTTTAGATTCCTTGTAGGACCCTGATTTTATATTCATCACAACTCAAAGAATATAATTCAGCCAAAAGGGTAACATATTATTTCGTCTTTATATATAATTGAGAGAAAATACAAGATACTCTCATGTAAAAAAACAAAAATAAAAAGTGCAAAGGACATGCAAATCAAGGTTAATCAAGTTGAATAAGAAATAAGATTCATATCTCGACTTAAAGTTAGAATTTCATTGGCAATGCATGAAGTTGTTTTAGTATCACATAAGTATTTTTTTTAAGTATTGTTTGAATTATAAGGATATGAGACATCCTGACTCAACTCAC